ATCTGCACCCGTACACAGCTGGAGCTTGAGAGAACATTCTCTTAAGACTGGAGGTAAATCCTCAGTTCTTAGCGTCAAGCAGCCAAATTCTTGCACTATCTTTTGCAACCAAAGTGCTTTGCACCTGTCCTCCGTCGCTTCTTACACCAGCGTTGGCAAACTAGGGGCACTTCCGCATATGCATCAATTTGCCTTTTTCTTCCATACAGCAGGATGTTGCCTTCCATGTGTCTTTTATTCATTTTCAAACCAGTGAAATTCTTACAGTCTCCGATTAGGTCAGCAGAGCTTCTTCCGTGTAAACGTACAGTCGACGGATCATCCGAAGGCGGAGCGTCTTAAATGAGGGTTATTGAAGACCTGCTAAATATTGCAGCGTCCTCATCGCCGCGTAGTCAAGCTCCTTGAGGCGCGCATCCTCGTCCATCCGCTTAATGGTGAGCTGTGGGCACGTTATGCTTAGGTACTCAGACCACCTTGTGAAGAGAAACCTTCTTGGAGGAGAACAGCTTCGTTAGATTCGCGACGGTGGTTCTGAAGTCCAAGTTGTTTGGTTGCGCAGGCAGGACCTCATCTGCGTATTTCTGGTATGGTCCAGCTTCATAAGGATCGGCTTATTCTGGTTCGAAAGCTGGGAGTCGCGCATGACCGGCCCGTACCTGCCATACCGGTAAATGTGTTACCTGTCTCTTCCCCTGATTTAAATCTCTGCACGCCCTTGCTTAGCTGATCGTATTGATCCTTGCTGACGCCCCTGACAGCTACCTTTGATCAGTAGTCAAATTAGTGGCCAGCGTCCTCATGCCCCTGTTGTGCTTGCAAACGCACTTGCATTTGCTCCTATAGACCATGTGATTGCATTTGCATTTGCTTCTGTTGAACTTGCAATCACCCTGCATCTGTTCTTGTTGAAGCTGCATATGCAGCTTCCTCCCTTTTAAACCGCATCTGATCGACCGCGGCTGGCAAGGCCTTCTAAGAGAATTATGGCCATGCCGCCCTACGCTGGCTTTGCATGGTTGACCTCTCTGGTGTCGACGACTTCTGCTGGATGGTGTACCTCGGCAAAGCTTACTTATCTGCTTCCTGGACAGGGACAGCTCCCTCACTTGTTTGGGCTGCAGCACTTCTTCTTGTTTCTGATCCTAGAAATTTGGTGGCGGCTTCTTGTCCTTGATCGTTATCGCCATTTGTAGTAGAACGCGTGAGTCGTTGATAATGTATTAGAAAAGCGCAAGAGACCCTCTACACAGTCGGCTTGTATGCCGCTGGTCCCTTGAGATCATTTAATAATAGACACGACAACACGTAAACATCTCAAGCCACAAAGGTCGCATTTGCTTAACAATAAGTATCAATCGTGAGAGAGTGTCCTGTACGAAATGAACATCTCCACGACATTTACAATAGGTTTTAGAATACTTACAGAACTCAAACAACTGCATTAGCTTTGATATACTTGGGGTTTGATGTCAAAAACTAGCGATCTGGTATATCGGGCGAAACTGAGGGAACCAGAACTACGAAAACTTCTCAAAGCGATGCTGGGTTGTTCCCGCATGTATACTATGAACATAGGGTGCAATCGTAGATTCAAAATTTTTAGAAGCGTTAGCGATCTAAAATCCATATTTCTTAGAAACTAAAGTATGTGAAGCTACCACCAATATACTTCCAAGATCTTCTAGTATGCAATTACTCACTCGCAACGCAACGCTTTTCTACATTTTCTTATTTCCAGTTGAAGAAAAAATACAACTGTATATGTTATTGTCTTATAGGCTAAAGCAAGTAAGGATTCTTGTAAGGTTTCCAAGCCGAGTTCCGTTTTTCCTGTAGTTTTCAAACTGTAGATCTTTTAGTCATGGCTTCAACTTCGGATCAAAGTTTATGATTGTTTAAACACTGTCTTGTAGAGCTTGCTTTGCCTCCAGCGAACGGCCCGAATCCCGGCCAAAAACAAAAAAGTACGATTTATCTCGGTGAAAAGTCAAGATGTAACGAAACTCACGTAAGAAATCACTTATCAGCATTACTCTTCCTTGAGCAATATCTAAGAGAATGCAACTTACTTTTGTGCAGTTGATGAAATACTGAAATGGTGTAGCATTCCACTCCGTTGGAGGCGACCAGAACAAGGATATTATAGCTCGCGCACCATCTACAGTTCTCTAAATTGTGGATTTGGCCGACTTATGTAGCTTAGACGAAATTATTGATCACTTATTTTAGTTAAGAGGCAAAAGTAAAGAAGACATTTCTGAGTACTGAAGTCACCTGTTGCGTTGCGTACAAGCGAACATTTGTTGGCACGGTAGGTGGTTTTAGTGGTGCCTGTAGTCCAGTTTTAGTGATATTCAAGGACATCCATGCGTTGATCGCTTAATTCGAAGATTTATAAGAAACCTCTACTTACTGCTGAGAAAAACTTCAATTTAGTGGATCAAGATGGAACATACCAGCGATGTTTACATCGAATTTTTGAGCCGAAGACCAAGACTGCAGCAATTCTGTAGGTAGAGTCAGCTTAGTCATTGTGGTGACAGCTGTGTGCGCATCACCAGCAAGTTTTTCTTTGTATAACGAAACCTAAAGTTACCAATCCGCTGATTACATATTTGAAATAAGCACGATCACAAACTTTATAAAGGACCATTCCAGGTTCCTGACGAGGCTCGACAACCCAAGACAGTTCATCCTTCTTAAGTTCGTTCATGATAATGCTTTCCGCTGAAATTGATATGTAAGTCACGTCTGGATCCAAAATCACTAACCTTGTACTTCCACACGGTTGGACCCAGCCCCAGGGTAGAGCGGGATGACTGTGCCGACCTCGGAAAGGGCGTGATTGAGATTGAGCGAGCCCAATTTTTTGTCGCACTGCCCTACGTGACCCTTCTGCGTCACAAATATCACCTTTTCGTTTGTAACTAGAAGTTGTCGAATGCTAAATGATAACGATGAGAAAAAGTAGGTGTTGAATCCGGCTTACAGTCTTACTGTATCCGGCTTACAGTCTTACAAGCAAGAGATACTTGGTCGAAGTGGCGTTTCTACATAAAAAAAAGCCTACTATCTTATAAAGCATGGAACG